GCAGGTCAATTCCTCCTGAGCGCAGCATTTGCCAGGTGTCGGTCAAGGAATTAAGCAAGGTCCATGTGTGCAAGTCCGTCATTTGGATTCCAATGCTCTCCAAAAAACTTCAAGAACTTATTAGTGATAGGTGTTGCTGCTAGCTGAGCATTGAGGTCTTCACTAAGTCCCAGTTGGCCGAGCAAAGCACACCAGTCTGTGCTGGCCTTAGGAGAGTGTTGAAAGATCTTGAAAGATCAGTGTCTCGTTGCATTGTGTGCGGTAGGGGAAGCTGTCCATCGCATTTTGAAGCAGAAAGTGATCGATGGATCGTGGGAGTCGAAGCCAATCGGAATCCTCTAAGAGTGGTGGGCCGACTAATTCGAATCCCCTTTATTTTCAATTCAACAGTTCATCAAGCACCCTTTGTGCCAACTTGTGGAATCTAGTGTAGTGGTAGGGGCATGTAGTGGATACGTTGTGCTGCGTCAGGTTGCTTTCGCCTTCATACTCAGGTCAAAGTTGACATGCTGCTTCCAACTGTAGATCTACGGCTTGTCGGTTTGTTTGCTGGTTGTGCACCGTTCTCCTTTGCCAGGTCTTGCTATCTCAGACACATCCTCGTCCGTCTCGGCCATCGATTTTGTGGATGACGCGCCTTGATCAAACAAGTGTTCATTGTGCCGGCGCCGCGGGTTTCCAATCTGCGCCGCACCGATACACCGATACACCGATATCCCCCACCCGCAGGATATCGGCGTGTCGGCGGCGCACCGATATCCCCTACCGATATCTATACCCCATGCAGCCACATGGATATCGGCGCGCGCACCGATACCCCGATACACCGATATCTGATTGTACGTGGAAATGCGGATTTTCTTCCTGCCACTCAGTGGCTGACAGGAAGAAAGCCTCAGTGGCTCAGAAAGCCTGAGTGGCTGAGTGGCTGACAGGAAGAAATGAGATCGCGGCCATGAGTTGCGCGCTCTGCGTCAGGCTTGGCACCGCAGTATCTTCAGCGAGCACATGCGCGTGCCTGCGAGCAGCAGCGCTAAAAAAAGGGGGCAACGAATCATGAACGGAGGCGCTGGCAAATCATGATTGATCCCTCCTTTCCGACAATGCAGTATATGGTGGTTATGTCAGAAAAGCTTGTCTATCCTTAAGCACCCCCAGCATTTCCAATCTTGCGGGCAGCTAAAGAAGATGGGCAACGAATCATGAACGGAGGCGCTGGCAAATCATGATTCGATCCATCTTTTTGGACAACGCCGCACATGGTCATTATGTCAGAAATTCCTTTCTATCCTTAGGCATCTGCAGCATGTCTACTCTTGCGGGCAGCCACAAAAAAAGGCAACGAATCATGAACAAAGGAGCTGGCAAATCACGATTGGACCCCTGCTTTTCACAGAGTGCATTATACGGTGATCGTGTCAAAGTTCCTGCCGATCCTCCGGCATCCAACCATGAGATCGCAGCCATGAGTTGCGCGCTCTGCGTTAGCCTTGACGCCGCAATAGCTTCAGCGAGCACGTGAGCGTGCCTTGGAGCAGCAGCAGTTTGGGGGCACGGAAGATTTCCTGTTTGATGAAACCGGGTGAAGCAGCATAGTGCATGTTAGAGTTGAAGCGGTCAGACGCATCGGCTCTGCTGAAGGAGACACCATTAGTTCTACGAGTCAGACAAATGGCTTTGTTGGAAACGATAAAGACCAACATGCTTTTTCAGTACCCAACCGTTCGACGGTTGGGTATCCCGGATTACAGGTGAGTATGTTTTTTCGGGTTTTGCGGGTTCGAGAGCGGTGGCGTTGTTCGCGCGTTTCTTCGATCCCCAATGCCATTTGTCCACCCATCCACTCCCAAACGCGCATTCTCTTTCGTATCGGGGGCCAGATAGGTTTTGGGCGCCGATCGGGGAGGTCCAGGGATCGCTGCCAGGGAGTCCTGAGAAATCGGGGAGTTTTGGGGCCACCGGAAAGGGTGATGGACGCTTGGGAGTTCAGAGAGTTGGTCCTTTGATCTTGGTCTTGTTCTCTTCTCTGCTAACATGGGGTTGAAGAGAAAATTTTGACTCAAGAGGCGTTGGTGACCTGTGGTCAGCGCACCTCAATATAAAGAGGCTGAGGTGTCTACAACGTCACCAAAGTCATTTTGTATACAGATTATGTAACTAGATTTCTGTCAACACGTACTGATATATTTCACGTAACCGAAACTTCCTGGCATCATGTTGGATATCCGAAAAGGACTTCAAGCGGACGACGTCTCGTGGTCTCAGCCACCATGGCAAATTCAATACCTTTTGAATCCATTGACCGACGGATAACAGTGCCTTTCAAGCTTCGCGCATAGGCCTTACAGTAGTAAGTCATTATCAAGACAACAAATTCCAGAGCAAATCATCTAAAGTCGGGGTCCACAGAGTCTGCGTTTGCCAAGAAAAAGGCAAGATATGGGGTGACAGAAATCTAGTTACATAATATGTATACAAAATGACTTTGGTGACGTTGTAGACACCTCAGCCTCTTTATATTGAGGTGCGCTGACCACAGGTCACCAACGCCTCTTGAGTCAAAATTTTCTCTTCAACCCCATGTTAGCAGAGAAGAGAACAAGACCAAGATCAAAGGACCAACTCTCTGAACTCCCAAGCGTCCATCACCCTTTCCGGTGGCCCCAAAACTCCCCGATTTCTCAGGACTCCCTGGCAGCGATCCCTGGACCTCCCCGATCGGCGCCCAAAACCTATCTGGCCCCCGATACGAAAGAGAATGCGCGTTTGGGAGTGGATGGGTGGACAAATGGCATTGGGGATCGAAGAAACGCGCGAACAACGCCACCGCTCTCGAACCCGCAAAACCCGAAAAAACATACTCACCTGTAATCCGGGATACCCAACCGTCGAACGGTTGGGTACTGAAAAAGCATGTTGGTCTTTATCGTTTCCAACAAAGCCATTTGTCTGACTCGTAGAACTAATGGTGTCTCCTTCAGCAGAGCCGATGCGTCTGACCGCTTCAACTCTAACATACACTATGCTGCTTCACCCGGTTTCATCAAACAGGAAATCTTCCGTGCCCCCAAACTGCTGCTGCTCCAAGGCACGCTCACGTGCTCGCTGAAGCTATTGCGGCGTCAAGGCTAACGCAGAGCGCGCAACTCATGGCTGCGATCTCATGGTTGGATGCCGGAGGATCGGCAGGAACTTTGACACGATCACCGTATAATGCACTCTGTGAAAAGCAGGGGTCCAATCGTGATTTGCCAGCTCCTTTGTTCATGATTCGTTGCCTTTTTTTGTGGCTGCACGCAAGAGTAGACATGCTGCAGATGCCTAAGGATAGAAAGGAATTTCTGACATAATGACCATGTGCGGCGTTGTCCAAAAAGATGGATCGAATCATGATTTGCCAGCGCCTCCGTTCATGATTCGTTGCCCATCTTCTTTAGCTGCCCGCAAGATTGGAAATGCTGGGGGTGCTTAAGGATAGACAAGCTTTTCTGACATAACCACCATATACTGCATTGTCGGAAAGGAGGGATCAATCATGATTTGCCAGCGCCTCCGTTCATGATTCGTTGCCCCCTTTTTTTAGCGCTGCTGCTCTAAGGCACGCGCATGTGCTCGCTGAAGATACTGCGGCGCCAAGGCTAAGTGGCCGCCGTGGACCGCGACCCGGATTGCGCATAATACTTTCCGATATCCCACCGATACACCGATATGCCCCAACCACAGGACATCGGCGTATGAGCGGCGCACCGATATCCTCCACCCATCACCCAGCCACAGCATATCGGCCTATCGGCGCCGCGCCGATATCCTCCCCCTTTCTGGATATCAGCGTATCGGCGCCGCACCGATATACTGATATACCCGCCAATATCGGCGTATCGGCGCCGTGCACCAAGAACCCGTCGCGCCGGCACGCTGG